CAATCAAGCAGACTGCCAACTACAACAACAACAACAACTACGACTACGACTACTACTACTACTACTACTACTACTACTACTACTACTACTACGACTACGACTACGACTACGACTACGACTACTACGACGACTACTACCACTTAAACCTAATTATTCGGATCCTTATTTTACTAAAGGGCGAGAGTAGTTCATGACATTATTTCCCTAGGCTATATACTTCTACATACTATAGCCTACACCCAAACCACAAACTAGTGGTTCAGATCCCTATGCCACTCGTAGCTCCCAGCCGCTTCTGAGGCGGTCGTGGGAGACAGCGGGCATCCGACCTCTGCCCTGCCGGACTCATGTGCGAGGAGGGTGCCAGGGCCCTAGCTTGCTATACTTCAGCGTTGGGAGTTTAAGGTTTTAGGTTGATGGGATGGGGCTGGAAGGGGTTCAGGGTCTACTAGAGGGTTTGTATACGGCTTAAAAGGGCGTCATAAGGGCTTTCGCGAGTTGTTACAGGGGCGAGTGTGTGAGACGTATTCATGAATTCGAACAGGTGCGTCATCATACAAGCATTTATAATATATCTGGCAGGGGTCTCAGAAATTGGTACTTGTGCTCGAGTATATATCCGCTACGGAAGTCTCTAGCTTCCAGTTTTACATTTTATGTTGGACTTGGGACTTGGGAGCCCGGGGCCTTGAGGGCAGACATGTGGTTTTGGGCTTTAGTGACGTTAATGGTTATGGTTTTCGGTTCTGCTATATTTTCCAAATCATTATTCCCGGCTTCAGGATCTGCGCAGTTTTTCCCACTGCGAGGGACCTTCTGCAGAAAAGCAAGGCAGCCATGCAACTCTTGGCGGTTATGCCTGAGCACTTGTGTACCTGAAGACCAAGAGTCTTGAACCCTTTAGAACCCTGAGACCTTCAACCCCTGAGCTCTAAACCCGAAAATCCCACAATTCCTCCGAAGCCCTTACCCCCTGCCCCCTTTGACGGGACTTCCTACAAAGGTTGCCACAGCTATCGAGCCGCAACTCTGCGAGCCCAAGACCTTCGACATTCGTGTGGATACCAGCCAGAAGCTTACAGCTCTCAATCAATGCCGTTTGGGCTTTGGGGACTACCGGTGCAGGGTGTTAAACGTGTAAAGTTTCGGGTTTGGAGTGTGCGTGCGGTTGGGTGTCGTAGAAAGGACCCCCTTTTATGTTTAGTGTTCAGTCTTTGGGTTTGAGGAAGCGAATCACCGGCTTGCAAAGCCTGCAGGCTGGCTGAGCGAGTATGAGCCAAGACAGGTTAGTTCCAGGTGTCGCCGTGAGTACTTGTTGCTCGGCAGAAGAGATGCGGCGGCATGGACATGCCTCTTAATTAGTGCAGATCGGAGCATGCAGCCTAGTGGTGGGAATAAGTAGTCAACTGATGTAAGCCCTAAACCTCGTTCGTAAATTCTTCAACACGGAGCCCTAAATTGCAAGAGCCCGAGGCTTGCAGCGTGAGCGCGAGAAGATCTGCGTGTACGGTATCGGCCAGCAGTTCGTTGAATACGCGAGGCCTCAACCTTTGCCACAAGTCTTAACACCACAGACGTGAATAAGCCTCGCTAAATCGGGTTCAGGGGCCCCTATTTGTTTAGCCCGGGCAAGAAGAGCAGCAATCATCGTAACATTTGCACTTGATGGTTTTTGGTAACACTAGCTGTTAACGAGGTGGTGGACATGAAACAGTTCGGATTCGCCGCAGCACTCGTCTATCGAGGTTTCTCTGTCCAGCAATATCAGCGCAGAGAAGCCCGAAAAGTGTCTCCGGATTATAATGATTATAGTCTACGATAACTATAGCGTGCAACCTCACGGCATACTCGGTATTCCTAGTTACTCAGGCCCCTATAGTAAATACAGTAGGACAACGGGATAGCCTCCCACTCCCAATGGCAGAGCACTGCTTTCTAAGAAAGGGCCTTCACCACGCCGTAGCCTGAATCTCGTTCTGTACTCTTTACCAGCCCGACCTGCAACCTGACGCTAAGTCCTGGACCCTCGGTTTAGGGGATCCGATGGTCACACCAGGCTTCTCACCGTCCCGCGGGTGGCAAACCGTTTCGGCTGGTCGCAGGACCAGGTGCATATGCAGCCGTGGTTCCTCATAATGTAGGAACCTGGTTAAGAAACCCTGACGTTTTAGGCCCAAATATATTTGGGGGTTCATATTAAGAGCCCTAGTAAGGACCCAAGGTTTCTTAATCAGGTTCCTATATTGGGCTTCGGTGCGGATGAGGCAGTGCTGTGCATATTGAGGATGGTGAAGAGAGCGCAAGCAAGCGGAGCATGGATTGATCTACTTGGAAGTTCTTCGAGTAGACATTCATGGGTCTTAAGCCCTCTTCTGGCTTGTGTAACCCTCGCTTGCACTTCAAACCCGGCACACTCGGCAGTCTTGGTTTTAAGCATGTGCGGGCTCTGTAAGTCCGAAAAGTCTAAACTCTGAGCTTTCAACCAGGGCTGTGGTGTCGGATTCAAGCATGTGCAGCGAGGGCATGGGGTGTTCGAGCTTACATCCCGAGCACTTTCTTGTAATCGCCTCTGAACTCTGCTCTTCAACAATGAACGCGTTTGGGGTTTAGGCTTTAGGGTTTAGGGTTTAGGGGTTTAGGATTTAGGGTTTAGGGAGATTCGGAGTCCCGGGTTGAAACTCGGCGGCCGCTTGCAGAATCTGCAATTTTTCGCGAAGCTCTCGACTCGGCTCCCCTAAACCCTAAACCCTAAACCCTAAACCCTGTTCCCCGCAGTTTGTGAATGGAACTCTGGTGGGCCGAGCAGCCTGCTGTTGGTCGTGCGTGGCCTCAGCCATGTGGGAGTTTCCAAAAATTAGGGTTTAGGGTTTAGGGTTTAAGGTTTAGGGTTTAGGGTTTAGGGGTCCTTATTTTGGGGTCCTTATAATAAGGGTCCTACTATTTAGGGTACTAAATTAGGGTCCCCTATTTTCGGAAACTCCCATGTCTGCTTTGCTTTGGTCTGTTTCTGGGCAGCTACTTGGAGGTTCATGGGTAGTGATAAGTAGGGTTATAAGTCCCCTAATATGGGTTATAATTATAGTTACCCTAGTTATAACCCTACTTATAACTACCCATGAACCTCCAAGAAGTGAGTCGTGATAGGCATGCACCAGGCTCTGTGCTGGACCCTGTGACTGTTGGGACTGTCCACGTGTCCAAATCAAGTGGCCAGAGACCCTCCTGGTGTTCCTTCCCGTTTACCGTATGTCGCTCTCTCGCTCTCTTTTTGTCTCTCTCTGTCTCTTTTGTCTCTCGTTTTTCTCGCTGGGTTTGTGTCTATATCTCCCTCGCTCCCTCCCTCCCTCCCTCTCCCTCTTGAAGTCTCTCCTGTCTCCATAAGAGCTCTTCTCATAACCATGTGTAAGGCCCTTGCAGTACCTGACAAATCGCCCAAAAGGTAACCCTAATATATTATACAGCCCGGAAAGTACCTGTATAGAGCCCTCATAGTAAACCCACGGCACAGTTCCACATAACCCAGGCCAGAGCGGCTGCAGCAATCCTTCGACACCATAGCTGCGGAGTTCAAAACGGCAAACGTCCGCACCCCAGGTATTGTCAATAGTGTACTTAGTAGAGTATATCACAGACGACATGTTGTAGTATTTCTGAGTATACTAGCCCATTCCGGGCACTGCGGAGGCTTCCATAACCCGAGGCATGAATGCTTCTTCAAGTAGCGGTCTCGGGCTTTCTTGTCTGCAGCACCCGCGTTAATCCTATAGCAATGCCCGTCCTTTGCCCACATGCCTCAGCCAGCATGGTGGTCGACCCAAAGGATGTCCAGTAGAGAGACCGGGGATTATACATAATTTCAGAAGCCCCGAAAGACCCTAGGCTAATCACTGCCCGTCCATCCCGAAGTTCGTACGTTCGCAATATTGCTTTGTACACTAATTACCAACTCTAATAGAAATTCAGATGGCGAGCCTAAGAACGCAAATCCACATAGACCTCGAACCTGAAGTTTGAAGCCCAGGGCCTTCAAGCGTTGCCGTGTGTCAGGACACGCTCTCTGCGAGAAGCTTTGCTCGGCTTTCCAGCGAAATCCGTCTTCGTGCCACGCCATTGAAATCAGGGTTGAGGTAAGATTCATTGACTATAAGGGCTGTTGCCCCCAGGGTTTCGGGATTTCCTGAGTGTTGAAGGACAGCAGCCGAAACACAAGCTACAGTGGACCCCCAGCTTCTAGAATCCTGAGATGCTGTTTTTTTCACAAAAGCTGCTGTAGCTTCGGGATGGCAAGGTACAGCCGCAGAGCGGGACATCGACTTCCAGTCGCCAGGCCACGGTTGAACAACTAAAGAAATATGTATGTATGCAGGTACGTATGTGTAGGTGTATATATATATATATATGTGTGTGTGTGTGTGTATATGTGTGTATGCGTGTATGTATGTATGTATGTATGTATGTATGTATGTATGTATGTAGGTAGGTATGTATCACACTGACAGCACTGTCGAACAAGGCAGCCACTACTGTAGTATCAGGATAAGCACCACAGGGCAAGTGAAAGGTAGAGAAATTTATAAAGATATACAATAATTTACAACAGCATTAATGTAATAGTGTGTAATGAAACTTTATATTAGCATGCGACAGCATCAATAACCGTAACAATAGTGATCATATGCTTTGTACTAACAACAACAGCAGCAACAACACCAGCCACACTGTACAATGTATAGCCGATAATAAAATTGTCTGTAAGGATCTATGCTAAAATAAATGGCATCGTGTGCGAGCATGTGATAGCTTCACAGTTTGGCCCACACCTGTATGTATATGTATATATATATATAGGTACAGACGAGCAACTACAAGTAAACATGAGTGAATAGTGATATATACTAGTATGTTGTTATAGAGTAGTACATACTTGTTGGTATATACATATATAAATATACGTATTCATGTAGAAGTTGCGCAAGACAATATAAAATAGGATATGTGACGTTGCCAGGCGAATAGTAAAGCCCAGTAAAGCGAACACCATGAAATAACAACAAGCTAGCCAGATACTTAACTTCAATACTTACCATTACGAAAGACAATGGCAGACATGAGCAATGACGGTAGTCATCATCATCATCATCATCAACATCATCATCAACATCATCATGAACCCTGAATCATCAACCCTGCAACAACTTCACATCGGGTGCATGCTGCCTGTGCCGCACAGCCGTGGTTTCACCGTGCTTACCCTTCAGTTCCGTCAGCAGAAGCTAGGAGAAAGCGGAGAGTGTACAAATACTTCCCAGATCAGTACATACATATGTACGTACTGTATGCCATGATTACGACAAACAGAACAATATGTATGAATCCAGTGCAGGATTCGATGGCCTTACCCTGCTGAATATCACGGACGACGAATTCCGCGAGGATTTGGTGATCCTTTTCCCCAAGGCGGAATCATTTCCTGCTTACGCATGCCGGCGCTCTATCGGACGACTCAGCTTTGAAAATGTCTAGATTCTGTGTAGTTGTTGATGCATTTGTTGCGCACCTCACAACCGTAGTTTCAAAGCTGCGGACTGCTGGCCGATCCTGTCTGCGAAAGAGTAGAAGCCAGATCGGTCTGAGAGTGAGCACCAGCTTTGCGAAGTTCTTCCAGCTCAGTCTGCGATCAGCGGTTGAGCCAGTAGAAGATGACCAGGCAAGGTCCTATCTCCACCACTACATTGAGAAGTCCCGGGCTGAGTTTGAAAGAGTCAGAAGGTCTCTGGACCAATCCTAAACCCTAAACTTTTAAACCCTAAACCCTAAATCCTAAACCCTGACCTCTGAATCTCCCTAAATCCTAAACCCTAACCTCTGAATCTCCCTAAATCCTAAACCCTAACCTCTGAATCTCTGTTCTGATCTGAGGCTCTGGAACTTCAGACGACCTCTGCCCTGGCCCCGTCGCTGTTCACGCACGGGTCTACAACGGAGGTTGATGTTTGAGCCGGTGTTAGGGTTTGGGGTTTAGGGTCTAGGGTTCAAGGTTCAGGGTTCAGATTCAGGGTTTTAGGGTTTGAAGGTAGGGTTTAGGGATTAGGGTAAATGCCCACTCTACAAGCGAGTTGTGCTTCTGTTGTTGCTAGGAGCAACAGCCCTTACTTCAGAACCAAGGAAGAGCCACTTCATAATCACAACCAGCTTCCTAGGGAGCATGGGGTCCTCAGAGAGATCATCTTGCTGAAATCCTTCCGGAGCTCCATGGCAACCTTTAAGGCACCATGTCCTTGCCCAATAGAGGATAAGTCTCGGCTACAGTAGACAGTCTCTGCAGATTTTCCAAACTCCAAACGTAAACAGAACGTCTCCCCCAATCGTACACGCCGAAGACCCTGAGGCCCTAACATCTCTTTTCCCTCGATTTTTTACCCAGGCCCTGTCCAGCTGGTGCCTACTGCAATGCGGGCACCTGTCGCCCACTCAGAAAATCATGGGTTTCCGGGTTTGGGATTGAGTGCGTAGGTTGGGTTCCATGAGGTTGGGGGTCTAAGTCTAGGTAGAAGGAGGTTGCTCAGCGAGGTTTGGGGACTGGGCCTGAGATCTAAGTCGTAGGGGCAGAAAGCCTGATCCATGGATCATTGAATGTGCTTTTGGGCCGAGTAGGCTAGGAAGCGAAGAAGAGGCGAGTCCCGAGTCTCCCAACCCCTGACATGCTAAGAAATATGCTGACACAGCACTGAGATGTTTGGCTTTACAGGATGTGGGGACGCCCTGCCATGTGTCGATCGGTTGGAGCCCAGGTCCACGATACTTGCTCACGGGAATCGTGGATGTGGACTTCGATCGGCCCAGCAACGTGCCCTCGACTTGTCCGAATCTCCTCCAGACAATCCGAACATCGCACAGAGCATTGGCAGGCCCTGGAGGAGGCAAGAAGACTGGCCGAGACCCACTACACCGAGAAGCTACGCGAAGTATGCCCAAACCTCAGATGCCCAGCATGGCATGATATCGGCAGACTGAGTTTGCTCAGATTCTGCCGTGCTAAGTTTACAACCGCACCTGGAATGTCACCATTCCTCCGGACATGGAGCAAGGCAGGTCCTTCATCACCGCGTTCAGGGCTGTCCCTGCTAGCTTGAAGCCTGGTCTGGTCAAAGCACGTTTCGAGAACGATCCTTAGCTCGACAGGGGAGGACATGGGTGGCCATGCAAACGACTCCAACGACTCGTCCTGGTCGCCCCTCAACCGCTCGGACAGGCACGCTGGCTAGCACATGAGCTCTGTTTCTAGGCTTCGGTTGCCCCTTCCATCTCTTCTTTCTGGGTTCTTATAGAGTTTCCTGCCAGGGGTCATTGTCGGTTGAAGTTGCAGATGTTGTTTGAGTTAATTACGGAAGTTTCTTGTTATGCAGTGCAGGTGGCACAAGCCATCAGACTGCTTCGACAAGAACGAGACAGAGCCACAGGAGAGCAAGGCAAGGACATCTGCGCCAAAGCAGGCACCTCACTGCGCTGTGCTGCAGCCGAGCTGCGCCGTGTGTTCTTTGACTTGCCACTGGAGGATGCTACATTCGAGAACTTCCGTGTTCTCAGCGAGTGCGACCCTCAGTGTTTCGAACATCTCAGAGCTCCTGTAAAGGTCAGGAAGCGGGGAAATATGCGTCTAACACTGCCAGTGCTAGTCCGCTGCAGCGTTGTTCCAGCATGCGTGCTGCAGAGACGACAACACGACGATGTTGTTGTTAGACTCCTAGACATTGGCCATCAAGCACACTATTGCTCAATGTATTCATCCTAACGCACTGTTCCCTGCGATTGTGCCTTCTTGTGCCATGCAGAAGTAGAGCGGTGTTCCCCCCAAGACCTGTTCTCTTCACACTGCCCTGCATTTTGCCTTCGCTTAGCAGGTTCCAACAGATGTCCACAGAGACTTTGGGCGCTCCAGCACCTGTACAGAGGCCTGCCAAGCTTGTTCAGGGCCTCGGTCTTGAGGGCTTTTAGGATCTAGTGCAGGTGCACCAACAGATCTCCAAGATATTAGCAAGTAGGAAAGGACAAACTCAATGACACTAGAGGTATGCAACATGACTAGATAGCACATGGGCATGCGATGGGGAATGGCAACAACAGGTAAGTATGGTATATGTATGTATGTCTGCGCACATGCACATACTTCATGTATTTGTCATCAGGCATGGTCGGTGGAGTTTTACACATGTGAGTGACGGGCTAAACCGTTGACATGCGAGGCCCGGACTCCCATTTGGCTTGGGATAGCGATACCTTATCTGAGAAGTGTCTGGTGCTGGTCATGGTGGTCCTTGTCGTTGTGGTTGTCGTGATCCTTGAGGTCGTCATGGTCGTCGTGGTGTTGTTTTAAACTGTTTGGTGATTTACGCTGGCACGATACGGCCCTGCATTGCCGCGCGACATTCACTTCGGCATGCGCAAGTACAAACCACATTAAGAACGCGATGAAAGTAGGGTACAAACCTAAATATGATTCGGATATTGGAAGAGTGCATTCAGGCTAAGCTCAGCTGTGGCCTCCAAATAAATAAGATGAACCCCTAAGCCCAAATCCGCAGTAACTGCACGTAGAGTAGACCTCTCTTGCACATCGCGCTGCAGTCTCGAATGCTATTTCATGATTGGGTTATGCATGTTCTCAAATTCAAGGTAGCAGGGTCTCGAAGTCTCAAATTTAGTTTGATGCCCGGAACAGGGGTATTACACCCAATCTCTTCGCAAAGTAACGTGTGAAGCCAAACTCGTGGCGCTTCGAGCGGCTGCGCTTCTTGGCTTCCAGAGCACCTCGGGGTTCGGAATCTTAGCACAACCTGAATGCAGCGTCAGATTGAGAGGCAGACGTCAGTAGCATCCTACCTCAACAGGTAGATGTCAGTATATGGCAGGCACCACCAGTGTCATATAGACACACTTCGCATATAGTCGCAGCAATGGGCTTCCTTCTACCGATGGCACTTTGGGCGGTCGCTGGCATAGTCGAGGCAGGATTCTTTTACTGAATTATGCCTTCGGCGCAGGGTGCTGAGTCCGGGTACTGTTGCACATCCGCTCTCCGAAGGAACCCTAAACCCTAAACCCTAAGGTAGAGGCTTCTCGTCGGATACTGTCGGATACAGGCATGTGCTAGGCAGATCGTACAGTCAAAGTACCAACTCGCGAAAAGCTAACCTCGCGTGCCTCTGCTGTTTTTTTGTTTTGACGGAGGTGTCGAAGAATTGAGTGATGCTGAGGACGATGGTCATAAGGATGACGACGATGGAAATGAAGATGCTCAGCTGGTGTTCATTATGAACATCCAAGCCAGGAGATGTCAAATTAAGTTGAAACAAGGCTCGGGATTACACCAGGATAAGCAATGGATAGGCAATGGTTAGGCAGAGGGTCAAAATCATGCTTCAACTTGTTAGTGTAGGATTACCTTAGGATTAAGCAACCCNNCCCACCCACCCCCCAACTCCTTCATGATCATAGCGATGATGAGGACGATGTGGTGCTTTTGTTAGAGACATTGAGTCTATTGCGGTGGTTTTGCCGATGATGTAAATGTTGATTAGGATGGTGGTGACAATAGTGACGACGATGGCGGCGATAGCGGTGATGAGGTTGCCGAGGATGACTGCACTGGAGACTATGAGTGTGCGGATACTGTTAATGGTTGAGGCCGAGAATGACGTCGAGGGTGTGGTTTTGATGCTGCCATTTTTGGCTATAGCTACGATGATGCTGATGAAGTTCAGCCAGCTTAATATGGCGATGAGGGTCTTGGCTTTGGGGCATCTCATGTCGTTGATGGTCGTGTAGTAACTGTAGTAGTCGTAGTAGTAGTAGT